ATGGTGAATCAGCAACGTTTGCTATCTGGTAACCAACTACAATGTCGGCATAAAACCCTAGCACACCATATTTCTCTTAATTTCACTACTTTAGTAACGTTAGTTTAATTTGCAACATTTTAATCAAAGTGACGATTAAGTCGACAAGTTTTACGAGCAGCGCCTGAAGGCAGCACCAGTCGACCTGTCAATCATCGGGCCGCGTTGGTCACCTGACCCAAACTCGGAGTCACGTGACTGATATTCCATCCTCGCCATTTTGCAATGTGGGAGAGAGTGAGGCCACTTTTTTATGGCTAACGAATAAAAAGAAGCAGTTTTATGCGTTTAGGACAAAGAGCGTCGAGCCTTTCCCTGCCAGTGAGTACATTTTTATTTAAACACAGCCCCGCGCTGCTCCGTCACTCATTAACCGTAGCGATAATTAAAACGTCCTTGTACACTCATGTGTGTAAGTGCTAGCTGTGTGTGGGATTCGTGTATGTGTGTGTGTGTTTGAATAGCAGGCAGCAAGCTGTGAAGCTAACTGTGAAGCTAACAGTGTGTGCCCTGCTGCTTCTCGCTCACATTTCTTTTTATGAATATTCTCGAAAGTGGCTTTGGTGTCAAAGCAGCTTCAGCTCGTCAGCATACATTTGCCAGGAATTGTGCCAAAGTGGTTATTTGAAGAATCTGTGAGAGTTTGCAGGCAGCGTGCAACTTCATTCTGCTGGGGAGTGAAAGTGGATGAAATATTTTTAGATCCTGACATAACAGGTGCTCTTCTGAGACGGGTTACAGCACATGATGGATTCTGCAGAGAGGCTGAACTGATCGCAGTCAGATTCACACAGATAAAAGTAAATCCAATGTATTTCAAAAAGTGACTAAGTTAGTGGCCATTAGTTCGTTAGTGTCGATCAAATTGTTCTTCATCGAGTCTTACTAACTGCACTTTGTTTTTTCTTCTTTTTAGCTCCACCTCCTCACAGAATTTACAATTTAGCTGGATGAAATCCAATATCTCTTGTATGTGGTATTCCTTCCCCAAATGTGAATCCTACACGTTTTGATCTGAGCATCCAGAAGCAGAAGTAGGAGAAAGAGGAAGGTGAATTGTGGTCAGAAAGTGAGGAAGGGAAAAGTGGTGGATATGCAGAGATTAAGGAATTGAACCACATGAGTTGTGACCATTTCCTTGAGGTTGACACTGTAAACATTTGACACTGTAACAAGCCTGTGATTTGAGTGCAGAGGGAGGCCTTATCATGGGTTAGTTAAGCTATCAGCCTTATCAGGGTGGTCTGCTTTCTTTTTTATCCTAAGAAGATAAAAGACACCAATCACCACATCTTTATAAATACTGTGTTCAAAAGTATCAGTACTGGTTCAGTTTGGTTTTAAGACAAATCATATTGTTTCTATAGCAAATGCAAATAATTTTGCTTTCTGTAGCAAGAACAAGTACTGATGACATGAAACAGTAAATGGCAATTTCTTTGTTATGATCATTATTATTTTTATTATTACTGTTGGAAGTGACAGTAGAGGCATGTATAGTTAGTCGTAATACAACTTATTCAGTGAAGAACATGAACATTTTCAAAGAGGATTCTTACATCATTTTAAATACTGACTTTTTGGATCATTCTGACTGTGCAACAAACAGTTACTGATTAACTAGTGTGACTCACCGGATGGAGATTAGGATGAAGCCGCCTGCTATTTTTTATTTTTTTTTTAAATGAATTATCCATTTTAGTGACAGTCACCTCATTGCTTGCAACTGTTCCATGAAAATGTTTCCACAATCACTGTTTTCAGTAACACTGCCCACTGCTTAACATACTTCACCATTTTCTGACAACTCATCGATAAAGCAAGAACGTAATTGACAGATTAATCAAAAATTAAAATAGCAGTTAGTTTAATCTGTAAGTGAACACACATTTGTGAATGACTGTACTAGTTTCATATAATGACAATGTCCAAGATTGCTCATGGAATGAATTGTTACTCAGACAATAATATAGGGAATTTATATAATCTGTACTGACATCATCATTTCATATGAGTTTTATTCTAAAAATTTGGTTGGGTTACATCTCTGAGTGAGTTAAAAGAGTCATTAGTAATGTGATGGCTAAGCAGGTGTGCTGTTAGTAGTAATAATGTCACTCAGCTACAAACATATGTTTTATCTCTTTTTGTAATAAGAACTTGAGATCCAACGTGTTCTTTGTATATGAGCTCTAAAGTGTCTGAGTGTTGTTTTCTAGGTACCTTGACATGGATGGAATTTTTAGAAATTGTTTTGTTGTAAGCCATATTGTAAACGATCACATTTAGTATACCATGTGTCATCAACGCACTCATTCCTATGTTCTCTGCTGTCTGCCAGGTCATGGAGGAGGCCAGAAACGTAGGTGTGCTCATCACACACTCCTCCAATGCCTCCGCTTCCTCCTCCACTCCATCAGCACTGGGAACCCACACTCAAACCAAAACCCAGCAAGCCATCGAGGTGGACGCCTCCCAGCGTGTTCAGCAGAAACGAGCTGATGATTCCCTCATTCAGGTCATCGAGAAGCTAAGCAAGATTGTGGAGAAGCGGCCACAGCGCCGCTGTGTCTTGGGAGGACAGAAAAGAGGACTCCAACTGAGTCCTCCTGCAGGGGGAGAGGGAGGTGAGGAGGAGTCGAGGAGAAGCCGCGAAGGCTCTCCCTATATGAAAATTAAGAGGAACTTTAAGGAGGAGATGGGAGTAGATGGCAGCAGTCTTTCTTCACCTTTGTCAGGTGACAGTAACAACAACATCACCTCCATGGTAACAGAGGTAGTTGGCAACCCCAACAGCAGCAACCACAAGAGGACAGTGACATGCTATCAGTGCAGCCTGTGCCCTTTCCTCTCTCAAACGCTGCCTCTGCTGAAAGAACACCTTAAACAGCACAATGAGCAGCATAGTGACCTCATCCTGATGTGCTCCGAGTGTCATTTTACCTCCAGAGACCAGGGCCAGCTGGAGGCACATGTCCGACTGCACTTTGACAACGGAGGCAACCTGAAGAGGAATTCTCCTTATTTAGATGCATACAGAGAGGAAAAGGGAGACGTTTTGGAAAAGCAGGGGGAGGACTGGACAGGGGATCATTGCAGTATAGGAACTGATGTAATCAAAAGCTCAGTGGATGGTTCCAAGGAGCTACCACAAAAAAAGAAGTGGTATAGCTATGAGGAGTATGGTTTGTACCGGTGCCTGATTTGCAGTTATGTGTGCAGCCAGCAGCGAATGCTCAAGACCCATGCCTGGAAGCATGCTGGTCTAGTTGACTGCTCTTATCCCATTTTCGAGGATGAAGATGGGGGTTCCACAAGGAGAGAGGTACAAGCTGCCACTAACAGTGCTGCAACCAGAGAGGAATTAGTTGTTCTTTCCCCAGTTCTTCAAGATAAAAGCCTACAGAAGCTCCCCACTGCCTTCAAGCTGCAGCTCTGTGTGCCTGTGGCTGTTGACAACAAACAGGATGCAGTAAATCTTCCAGTTTCCGATCTCAATGAAAGTCCAAAAACAGTAGAGAAAGAAGAGGAAAATGTATTCCCTATTAAAGACCTGACGTCTGAGGAACCCGTGGTGGAGGTGCAGGTGACAACAGAGACAGAAACTGAGGTGGAGCTAGATAGCCACCATGACAGCACTTCTGTCACAGACAGCTTACTGTCATCAGCTCAGAAGATTATAAACAGCAGTCCCAACAGTGCTGGCCATATTAATGTGATTGTGGAACGCCTTCCTTCAGCTGAGGATTCAGTTATGGCGACGAACCCGCTTCTTCTCAGCCCAGATGTGGACAGGGACAAGAGCTTGCTGGATGCAAAGAAGGAAGAGCAGGACCACGTGGGAGATGCAAAGGATGAAGCTGTCCTTGGCTGCAGTCCGGGTAACACTACTGACAACCAGCCATTAGGAGCTGATGTCAAATCCCCAGTCACTAAAACGAGTGACGCTGCGAGGGATGAAAACATTCCCCCCGCTGGTCGTAAGCGGACACACTCGGAGTCTCTCCGCCTGCACTCACTGGCCGCTGAGGCTCTCGTGGCTATGCCTATGAGGACGCCTGAGCTGCCCACTTCTAGCACCAAGGTAAGTCTGAAGACCATTACAGCGCAGGCACAGAGCCCACATGTGGGCCAGAAACTTTTTGAGGTCTCAGCAGCTGCACAGAAGGCCTCTGAGGGAGGAACAGCAGCAGCTCTGTTGGACTTGGAGCTTCACAGCGAGGGCAAAGAGGGGGATTTAGGGCCACTGTGCTTTGGGGAGGGAGATGAGGAGGGCCCTGCCGCTAAAGTTGGCATCAGCATGTCATTGCTTACTGTCATTGAAAGACTGAGAGAGCGCTCAGACCAGAATGCCTCAGATGAAGACATCCTGAAAGAGCTTCAAGATAACGCACAGTTCCAAAATGGAGCTGTAGCCGGAGTGGTCACAGGAAACGGAGCAGGGAGCTACATGTGCAGCATTCCAGGAATGGATGGGTTGGTTGGCTCTTCTGATGGCGGTCTTGTGGATTACATCCCAGGCAGTGAGCGGCCGTACCGGTGCCGTCTTTGTCGCTACAGTAGTGGCAATAAGGGCTACATTAAACAGCACCTGCGAGTGCACAGGCAGAGGCAGCCGTATCAGTGTCCCATCTGTGAGCACATCGCTACGGACAGTAAGGACCTGGAAAACCACATGATCCACCACTGCAAAACCAGGATGTACCAGTGCAAACAGTGTCCAGATGCATTCCACTACAAGGTGAGAAGACATCAACGTTTCCATGCTGCATGCTCCTGTTATTTTGTATCTATCCCAGAAGTCATGTTGGTTTTATCATTTATTATTATATGTTATGATGTCTTGAACAGGTTGTAGGGATTTTGCACCAACTGTTGAGGTTTCTATTTTAGAATAGGCAGAAGTGCAGGATGTGCAGAGCTACAGACTTTATAGTTGCAATGCTTATGTATTTTCTTTACAGTTTCCGAAGGCTCAGTCATACCAGTATGTTATAGTTGTTTTAGTTTTCTCTTTATCAATAGCTGGCTTGTACAGATCTGACTTTCATTTTTGTCCACGTCCTCATTATTTTACCAGAACACATTATAACACATTCTTGGCCTCCAAAAAAAAGCACTAACTGCATCACAAGAATCCTTTTTTTGTTGTTTCATCCTAAATGCATTTCTACATTGTAGTGCGTGTGTGTCCATTTTCAGACATGGGATATGTAACATTACTGGCTTCATCAGTCTGTTACAATGATGGGGTTCAGTCTTTCAGACATCATTCACTTTTATGTTAATGTTAGGCACACCCATGACAGTGACAAGAGAGCCACAGTATTTGTCATATACAGAAGACTAAATCCAAACTAATAGCAGCTTATCAGACTGTCCAGAGAACTATTAGCCTAGTTTATTTATTGTTTTTTGAACACTGAAAAGTCTGTCCTTGGTGATGATAATCTAACTACTGCTTTACCAGCAATAAAATAAAAATATGACAGCTTTGATGAAGCTCAGGACTCAACCTAAAGACGACCGCTATGTAACAAATGATTTAGTTGCAGCTTATCAACTAGGACTGTGTCACAGCTCACTGATCTGAAATGAAGAGAAGTGCACAGTGTGTCTTGCTGTTTGATTTCCATGTTGGAAATTATGTATTTTAAGTAACTGATGAAGTTGTAGCTGTTGTCCCTGGTGCATTAATGTACATAACTTACTGACTTTGGATATGCTCACAGGGATCCCTCTGCTGTCTGATGCTGGCATTATGTAATAAAGTCAGAGGAAAGACTCCTATAAACAGCTGGAAGCAGCAAACTAAACATCAGCTCCCGTTAAAGTTTTGTAAAAACCCAGATTCATTATTGAAAAGGCTAAATTCAATTAACTGATTTCAGTTTGTAATAGAGGTGAAATTGTACAAAAGAAGTAAACAAGAAAGGTGTTTGCGATTTTGTCACTAAACTGTATATTTAGTGTTGTTTTTGGACCAATATTGGTGCTATAATGTGGAAAAGTTTTCCCTAAATCACTACACACACATCCAGGTACATCATGTGTATCAATGCATTTGTCAGTGTGACTGCATGCAGTTCAGACTTGAGATTAAGACACAAAGTTGATACATTCAGATGTAGTCAGAAGGGTGTGCATGTCTGAGAGAGCCTTATAGGGCTTATGATCTAATAGGATCTAATCGATACAACTCCCTTAAATCAGAGTAACGACATGACAATTTTATGTAATGTTTTGAAGACACGTTTTTCAAATATCTGCGCAGAATACATACACTGTATTTTGGGATTATTGTTATTTGTTTTTGTGGAAAGTAGTCATACTATAACAATGCCTTAAACAAGTCCTGCAGCTTCACACTTTGGATTTGGTCGTATCACAAACAAATACACAACTGTACATGTGCATAGGGAGTATGTTTTATCTTCCCTTAGATGAGAATCTTATCCGCTGTCAACATCTGTTATTGTTTGTCAGTAAACAGACACAGTGAGTTAAGGCCTAAGTAGATAAATCATCTGTTTGATTTACCTGTGTGTAGTGATAGACCTTCTCAGTAAAAGTTTGCAGAGCATGGTTCTGTGCTGCAGATAAAACTATTGATTCCACTGCTGTCATGGGACTCAACTAGCTTTCTGCAGCAGAGATTAAGTTCATAATATCATCTAACAGATTCGGGAGTTGGGCTAGCAGAGTTTCTAATTATGAAGGGTGAAAGGTGGCCCTCTGTAATGATATCTGTACCAGAGACATTAGTGTTAGAGGGCCTGTTAAACCTGCACGGTGCGTCACTGAAGATCCCTGCAAGCTTTTTTGAATTCATATATAATCATGTCTTTGTCTAAGCATCTGATGGTGTGTGTGTGTGTGTGTGTTTTCCTTAATAGAGCCAGTTAAGAAATCATGAAAGAGAGCACCACAACTTCAGCAGTGACATGGCAGCACTTACACCACTCAGTGAAACTGTGGCCACAACGGAAGAAACTGAGCGGATAACAGATGAAGGTAAGATGTGTTTTTATGGCCTCATTATGTACAAAAACAGGAAAAATGTTTGTTACAAGATAGTTAACTGGCAAGCTGACTCTCGTCTCCCTCATCAAAGGCTTTTAATGTTGTTCTCAGCAAGATGTGAAAATCTGTTTTAATTTGTCCTCTATTACAGAATGTAGTATGCAGAAAATGTACAAGTGTGATGTGTGCAACTACACCAGCTCGACATATGTTGGGGTGAGAAACCACCGGCGGATTCACAACTCTGACAAGCCTTATCGGTGAGTTTTTAATTAAACGGAAAAAAACAAACTTGTAGAATTGCACCATCATCACCTAAATGCAGGCCCTCATACCACTTACTGACCAGTCCAGAGTAATTACACAGTCATGTCCTGATTCAACCCATGAAGTGGTTTAACTTTTTCCACCAACATACAATCAAATCAGGTTTATTGTCATTTTGCTGTACATGCACAGTAGTACAGGCAAGATGAGAGAGCGTTTCTTCAGGATCCAATAACTTCAAGCAATTTAAATAAAGAAGTGTTTGCATATCTGGATCAGCAGTTCAGCATTCTGACAGCTTGTGTCATGAAACTGTTGATCATTCTGGAGGTTCTTCCTGTAATACTCCGATACGTACTCCTGCTCATTTGTAAATTATAAAAAATAATGTATCCTTCTTTTTCCATGCTTATTTGGATTATAGCTGCCGACTTACTTGAGCTGTGCCATCACTGGACGTGCTGGTTTGAAAACTTGTGCTCTGTTTTTTTTTTTCCGCCCTGTTATTACTTCTTTCATTTAACGGTACTGCAGTTGCCCAGCAACTCCATACTTGCATTGTTTGCACCAGGGATCATGCTTGAAGCCAGCCGACATGGCAATCAGAACAACAACAACAGCGGGCATCCCCACAGAACTCATAGGAGAGCACGCAGAGGATTTAGAGGAGCGAATCAATGAGAGAAAAGAGATATGGTTCAGACAACAGATACTTGTGGACGAGAAGAACTATAAGTAGTGTCTTTCCTGTCATCATGGGCGATGTGAGAACGCTGAGCTGTAAGATGGACAAGTTAACAACCCCAGTGAGAAATCAAAAGGACTTTGTAAGTGTACTGTTGTGTTTCTCACAGAGATGTGGCCATAGAAAAATACTCCAGATCCTATCATTACCATCAACAGCTTGCAGACGGTTCAGCCAGACAGACATAAATCAAAGAGCAGGAATGAAAGAGGTGAAGGGCTTCCAGTTTCATTAACAACATATGGTGCCACCATGGCCTCGTTACCAGGGAGGAACATTTTGGCCGACCAGATATTGAACTATAAGCTGTGGGACTCTGAGGGCATCTGAAAAGTAAAGTGAGCATCGAAGTTCGTTTAACCTGCATTTTTTCTTACTGCCAGCAGGAGGCGACATCGCTGGTTGCAAAAAGAAATCCACATGTATAGACGAAATGACGATTCAGAAAATGACCCAAATTCTCACTTGATTTGTTATCGCTGTAAATATTTCCTCATGGTTCACTGTCTCAATCATTAGTTTTAAGACTTTTTAAATACAGCTCAGTGTTCATTTTGTAAATTCTAGTCATATTTCGAGTCAACTAGATGATAAAGCAGGGTATGTTTTAGGTTGACGGGTTGTTCCTGTGTCAACATGCCCAGTGTCGTCGAGATCTCAGGTCTCACATTAAAAGGTTGCTCCCAGAACGGGTGAAGGGTTCAGGTTCATTATCCTTTTGACTTTGTTGTTGGAGCTTCAGTTGGCCGAATGGGATGGATTTTTTTTTAGGTACATACAAATTAAATTAAACAACAAAGCTTTGCGCTATAGAACTTTGGAAACACACACACATGGCCCTCATTAGGATGTTTACTGCTGGGTTGGTTTTACAGCCACAAAAATATGAGAAAGAGCAGTAGTGAGTCAGAAAGAGATTCTCCAGTAATTAGAAGAAGAAACTCTGTTTTTCTGAGCTTCACAAAATTCCAACAAGACATGTAGTACCATGTTTGTTTCATACCTGTTGTGCTTGAATACACTTATCCTTTTTGTTTGTCTCTTAAAATAAGCTTTGTGAAAAATGCGAAAATCCACCTGTAATAGTCCTGCATGGTCTAGCTCTTGACAGAAGTCACCTGCCGTCAACACTACTTAGAGTGATGACTGTCAGTCACTCATCAAAAGAGGTGCCCAGGTAGAACAGTGTTCCCTGTAGGGAGGTGTTTTTCCTTGTGGTGAAACAGAGGCAACCAGACTTGCAACCCAGCTTAAGATAGTATAGTTAAGTAAAGAAGCAACATTTTCTGTGATTGGTTTCCTTTATGTGTGGCAAAATACATCATGAACGCACACACTGAGGTACAAATTCCTGTTTTAGTGTTTGTCGTGTCTTTCAATATCTACAAGCAAAAACTCAAAGGTGTCCATTCAGAAATTCACTTTCAACAGCTACATTATAAAATACTGATTAAAAGCAGGTGAGGAGATGAAGTGAAGAATGCCTAGAAGGAGCTAAGGGAGATCAAACCTGAATTCATTCACCGCTGTTTAGAATCAGATTCTGGGTGGATGCAGGAGAATTAAACCATTTGAATCATTAACTGACCATGTAAAAAGTACATGACTGGGATAAATTATTTATTAAGTGCATGTTTTATAATTTATTGATGAAATTTGTGAGAACTGTTCAGCTAAATGTTTTAATCATTTAATTTCATGCCAGCGTCTGTTTGTTGGACTGATGACCAAATCTGAATTCAGTTTCAGTGGTCAGTTTAAAGAGTTTTGGCTTTCTTTCTTTCTTTCTTTCTTTCTTTCTTTCTTTCTTTCTTTCTTTCTTTCTTTCTTTTTTTTTTTTAGAGTATATCAGATATTGGACATGAGAAGTCTTCATAGTAACTATTCATAATTTTAAAGTCCCAAATGTTACTACAGACAGTTTGCAGATAACATTCCATAATATATCTATTTTTTTTATTTCAAATTGTACTTGTACTGTAAATATAATACAGAATGTTGTCGTATGGTGGGTAAGTATTGGCCTTATTACAGTTAATTCTGTCATGATGGCAGCTTCAAACTACATTTACTGTAGTTTTGTTCTTTGCATTGATTAATATTCTTTCCATTGTTGGTTTTATTTGTGTCTGCAGATGCTGTTTGTTAAATTATAGTAATGATATTTGCAAAAATTGCATATGACATTTAGCAGTAATGATGGGACTTTAATGAGGTACAACTAAATTTCATTTTCTTCAATGATTGGCTGCATATCTATTAATTGTTATAAATTGAATATAAGTATTACAGACTTGTGTTAATTATTTCAAACACAAGATTGTGTCTTTACAAAGCTTTTATCAGCTTCACTTGATCCCCTGTAAATTACTGAAATCCAGTTTTTCCTGCATGTTAGAAGGAGCACACGCTTGACTTTAAGTGCATGATAGAATGGTTATTGGTACAAGCTTTGGGTGAACAGAATAGTTTGAGTTCATTGCCGTTTCTGTGTTGTCCTGTAGATTTACTTGTTGTTTCAGAAAGGTCCATTAGGGGGCAGTAAATACCTGGTAGTGTGCAGACCAGCACAGTAATCTCACTGTGTAGGCACGGTAACACTCTTGTCACACAGTGCCCTCACTGTGCTTCTCTTCCACACTCTATATTAGTGCATGGATTTGTGTTAACTCAAAGCGCATATGGGTGTTTGTGTCGGCTTTCTTAGCAGTGCGCTGATGCTTTTGGTCTGAAGTCAAACGTACATTTAAAAGTATGCACGCACGCACACAAACACACACACTTTCTTTCCACTCTGGTAAGGGTCAGCTGACATCTAACTGTGTTTCTAAGTGGAACTCTCAAACACTGTCAACAGAAAACCAAAAGTCTGAAAAACATAGTAATATGTACCTGCGTTGTGTCTCCATACCTGTGTCCTCGCCTTTATACTTTCATGAGGACACATTTTCACACTTGAAATAAAATTACACTTGCAGCAGTGGGTTTTTGTTTTTTTGGTTGTTTGGATGCCTCCAGCATTAGTCATATATGATAGCAAAGTTAGTATCTGGGTTGGACTGTTAGACAGCACAAAACATTTGAAGAAACCATCTTGGACTGTGGCAATTTGTAGGAGGCCTTTTTCATCTCTTACAGACAGATAAAGTGAGCACTTAATTTGATGATAAAATGATTAGCAGAATAATCAATAATGAGAAATCTTTAAAGGTGGAGCCTGTGGAGAAAGGTTTTTGATGTTTAGCATGAGCCAGATTTACTGCCCCTCTTGTTTCCCCCACCCCCCTTCCCCCATCTTTCCTTCCCCTCCCTTACCCCCTGTCTTGTGCACGAGCCTAAGTGTACAGAGGACACGCTTCACTAATGTTGTATGGATCGATCTGAGCCACATTGTTTGAAACAAAGCCATGGCTGTGTATTCACGCTGGATTTATTTATTTTTCTTCAACATACAGTGCATTGGATTAGAAACGCTGACTGTACCTGTAAATAAAGCCCTGAATGACATGTCAGCATGTAAACTTTATCTGTTTGCTTTCATGCATAAACTATGTGGGCTCATCAAACTTGGCATTGGTGTCTATTTACATACAATAATGTATCCCACCAAATTCTCATTTACTACATAGGGTTGTTGAAAGAAATGTATCTGAATGGAATCTCAGATCCATCAGAACTACATGTGGTCTGGAGGTGTTAGAGCCATTGGACATTTTCACTTGTTTTGGCTCTGTGCTCCTGCACAGTGGATCTGAAATCAGAAAGAGTTTGAGGTTAAAGTGCTGACTTTCAGCTTAAAGTGCTGTTCCAGAGGATAATGACAGGACTACAGTTCTACGCTGTTCTACACCCAATCTGGATGTAAACATCCTCCAATAAAAGCTGAAAGTCAGCACTTCACTCTCATAGTCACAGAAAAAAATGTGTCACTGTTATAATACGTACAGACCGCACTGTATTTACAAGTAATAATAAACGTTGTCCTGCAGTGTTTCGAGTTTCAAGGATTATGTTCTGTTCATAAGCTTTGTGTCTTAAGGTATGATTACATCATTGTTCATATAAGTGGTACTCTGCCAGTGCACGTCATCAGCTGTAAGAAGCATGTAGTAGTGCAGTCCCTTGCTAATACATGTGTTGAGTACAAGCTACAATCTAACCCTTAAAAATGGAATCTGTCAAGATTTATAATATATAATTGGCAAAAAATAAAAGGTGAGACCCAAACATTTCATGGCGATATTGTCTAATTATCTGTCTAATATTGTCTCTGTCCCCTGTAATCAGGACATGGAGACAAACCAAGTTACTACATGAAGCTCTCCACTTTTCACATCAAATGTGAAAACCTTTCCATTTCCAGTGCTCACTATACACTGTGGTGTGCTGAAGTAATGCCATAGACCATGCTCTGTTAGTGTGTGAGATGCCCCTTCAAAGGGGTGGTAAGACTCAGCTGGAAAGTTAAATATTTATTTTGTTTGTAGGGGAAGACATTGATTGATTGGTTGATTGGATGTCTGACGCTGACATACTCTTGATATCGGCTTCCAACAATTGCCATGTTCATGGAAGGGTTAATACTGTTATTTCTAGTGATGCATTCAGTGTAACAGTTTAAGCAGTCAGTGAATATTTTCCCAGTTTTGACGTCAGTAACATGTGCCACCTACTTTGAACATTCAGATGTAGCTAAATCTTTCTTCACAGGTGGTATTTGTAGGTTCCCCCTCATTCAACTGATCACTGATCACCAGAGGCTTTAGTAGCCAGTTTGTAAATTGTGATTGACAAGGGGGAATAGTTAGACTGCCTGTGTCCAAGATATCAAAATCTGCCTCTCTGCATCTCCAAAGCAGTCATTTACATGCTGTATCTTGTTTGTAAAAAAAACTGATGCGTATAAATGACAGTTTGCTCTGCTTTGTTACGACGGAATAATGTACCGTACTGTTTCTTGGCAGGGAGCAGTAGATCCTACTCATGTCTAATGCTTGCCTCGCAACTGCTACCCGGCAAAAAGTAGTGACCCTTTTCAAAAAACAGTGGTTGTGGTGATCTTGGATTCCAAACAATTCAACTGAAATCCAACAGTGATACTTTTTCCACCATGAAGAAAAGGAGAAAGACTTTTGCCTAACTACTTTTGGATGACTATCTACCTCTCTAGTGTACACTGGTATGCATTAAAAGCAGTCAGTTTTAAACAAAAACACACTGCTTCCATGCCATGTTGTTGCCCTCTCAAAATCTGCAAAAACTCAAAGCAGTGAACACATTTAAGTTTGCTTGAGTTACCTTCAGGCAAGGCCACTTTATTTTCGAGCTACCACGCCACAAGCCAAAGGCACATACATGTATTTGTTGCAATACACAGCTTGTCCTCTCCTTGAATTCCACACACTAGCTGAAGGACAGCGTTTTTGAAATTATAATATTTAGAGTAATCCCATCCCACGTGCTGCAGTTAATGTAGTTACATTTATAATCGGTAAAATATAACATATTTCTGTTTTACATTTGCACAAGCATCCTATTTGGTCCAAGTAAAATTAATCTAAACGATTGAATTCTGTTGAAACAGTGTGCTGTAAGACTGATAAAATCTTTTTTCTGTTGGAATTGTTTTAATGTTACTTTGTTTTAATGCTGTGCCAGTGGCTCTAAGTTGAGTGCAGCCTTTGTTTGCAGACCTTGTTCATGCAGTATTTGCCTCTAAGCAACTAAAAAAGCCAGTTTCATCTTCCAACTGCAACATCCAAAGTGCAACAAAGTAGAAAACATTGTGATTTATTCCTTTTCTTAAAGTGGCAATTTCCTTTCTGTTTTGCTAGGAATCCCTTATCTCCCTTCAGGCTACAAGTGTAAAGAAGCAACACACTGACCTCAAAGTGCAGCTTGTTAAACTAGCCACTCTGTCTCCATGTTCTCTCATCTCTGATTTTTCGTTTTTCCATCTGCCAGGTGCTGTAGCTGTGATTTTGCCACCACCAACATGAACAGTTTAAAGAGTCACATGAGGAGGCACCCTCAGGAGCACCAGGCGGTGCAGCTGCTGGAGCAGTACAGGTAAGAAACTTCAAATACACATCCACTACACAGAGGGATGATAACGATGATCAGTGGACGGCCAAGGTGAAAATCAAGAGCTGTATCTGACCAAAAGAATCTGGGGTTTTCTGAGTCTGTGTAGATTGGAACACATTTGTGCACTCTCATGGCGCTGACAGCCTGGAGACTTTAGAAATGGGCCTCTGATTGCCTGGTTAGTGGTTAGTGGGCGGACAAAGTGAATGGCGGTGAATACTCAGTTCTCCTTAAAATGTTAAATATCCTCAACCCTGAGCGAGGCACTGATTGCTGATTTCCACTTCACTAAGCACTTGTGCTCAGTACCTGCAAGGCTTGAATTCATGTTTCCATACAGTTAAAATGGCACAGACAGTGCTGCTCTTTGTCTCTGAAGGGGTCGCTGAAGTTATCCAGTACAACACATTTAATAACGTCGGGGACTTGAGATTGACAGATTGCTTTACAATTGGAGCAGCAGATATCTTGACTTTTAAATCACTTTCACTCTTTCATTTGGTCGAAGGACGAAAGCAATATGTTGTTTCCTTTTAGTTCAGATTCAGTCCAGCTCTTTACAAATGAAGTCGACATGTCATATGAAAAGGCAATTCGTTCACTGGACATGTTTGATGAGATTGTCATCCTACATTATCAGCTTTACAAAGAAAAACTTTTATTCTGGTAAATTGCAGCCAGTCATGCTGAATTTATTCAAACTAATGTTTATTTACGAACATTAATAGTCCATGGCTAACGTTTACCTCATATGTCATTTATAGGGAGGAAAAGCAATGAAGAAGCATGTTGTAATGTGTGATGTTAAGCAGTGGGAAATTGTTAGTCTCTCTTAACATTGTGTGTGGAGGATTCCTACCGTAGATGCAGCTGTAAAATTCCTGGATTTGAACGCTTTAAGGCAATCTGAGCTTTTTTGTGAAGCATATTGTAGATACAAAGACAGTTCAAAGTGCTCCACATAGTGCAGTAAAATATTTAAAAAGAAGGAAAAACTGCATAAAAACATTCAAATTTAAATAATGGAAAATAAGAAAAGATGTAAAGATAAAATATGAAATACATTGAAGTATAGTTACTTTATTAAAGCACAAGTTTAAACCAGTATTTACAGAATACATAAAAGGGGCTCATTCAATAAAGGAAATGGTCATAGCAAGTCTACAGTTGGGGCATATCTGAGTTCCAAGGGGAGGTGGTTCCTGCAGTGGACAACATCTTGGCTAAAAGCCATATCACCATGTTTGGTTTGAACTCTGGGCACCACAAGCAGACCAGCCTCTGTACATCTGACAGGCTTACAAGGCTTGTACTGAGTAAACATGGCTTATAGAATTTCAGACCTGACTGAAAAAAGACTTGTAGACAAAAGGTGGATCCTTAAATTCAGTTCTGTATTTGACTGAAACCACTGCAAGGATTTTTTTTTTTTTTAAATGACATTTTCTAACTCCTTGATGTTTGTCATTATTTTAGCAGCAGTATTTTCAGTGAGTTAAACATGTCTAACTGGAGAGGCCAGTGAGAAGCGCATTACAGCTGTCCACTTTTACATCTAACAAAAGCGTGGTTAGGCTTTTCTGTCCACTCTGTTCTGTCACTCACTAATAATTTTTCTACAGATTCCAATGTCTGTCTTTGCTCTGTGGTACTGTTTACATACTGAAATTTGATTGTCTCTACAACTTATCTCTGATCATCTGCCTCCAAAGCAAATTACCACTATTATCAGCTCTTGGTGTATTTTTACAGTAGACCTGTTGTTGCATCTGCACTTGGCATGTTGTTATTGGCCAGTGTCTCCAGTATCTACAGGGTCTGTCGCACAGTATGGTACCAACACTACCTCATGAAAATGAGGACTGTCACCAGAGTTCTCGGATCAGCTTGGGATAGAAATATCAGTTTTAATGACATCCCTCCTCACTGCCATGTTTCATTCAACTGTGAAAACACCCAGAGTGTGACACAAGTGTTTCATACAGCCGTTATAAGTCTGTTTGATGTTAGGGTGCAGTCGTTCACTGTGCAGCAGAGTTCCAGTGAAGGTTTTCACAGCAGCTCAAAAGAAGTAAATCAAACAAGTTAAAACACCAGAGTTTTTTGTCAAAGGGAGCTGGGTGATAATGGAGCTATCACTATGAGAAATGGTGATGAGCTGAATTAATTGCAAGTGATTTTTCCTTGATTTTTTTGTAATAAGTGATTATTTTATTTTGTTAAGTTAAATTTCTCGTTACTCTTTGAGCATCCAATGCATCGAGCACAGAGCATAACAATACAAAAGCATAACTGCTTTTTCTAAGAAAGGAAATACAGCAAAAGACAAAAAAACACACAGAGTGAATTAGATGTGCATTGTAGTTAATTTTTAAATGCATCATCAAAACGTCTGTCAGCTCCCAAAGTGTTTTGTTGTTCTAGTGGTGCCAAGAAGCATCTGCTTGTTGCAGAATAAACAGTCCTGATCACATCTTAAAAGACAATGATTAAATTGAAACAGACATGCTCTTTTTCTACAAGATAAAGTGGGCAATTGAGTGGACAAGAGTAACTACATCTGTAGTCAGCGGTGCACATTATGACTTACCATCCTATTACTGTATGATCTTCTTTTCACTTTCTTTACAACAATGTAGGTTATATTATAAATAGTCTTTTCTCACACAGACTTCAGTCAGCTGTAATGGGGAAGTCGGCTTGCTTTTCTACTCTATCCTTAATAATGTTTGTTAACTGAAAGCGTTTGAATAGCGCTTAAACGCATCATACATAATTCTTTTAATTTTGACAAATGATTTCACCAGTGCGCTGTAAATCCTATTTCCTCTCTCCACTCTTTGTCTCTGTCTCTCAAGCTCAGTGTCCCCTGTGGAGTGTTGAGTCAGGATGATTCCTCTTGATAGAAAGTAGCAGAAGGATTAGTAGAACCGCAGTACACATATTAAGTCAGCTTCCACTTGATCCGCTCTCACTCTGTTGCTCATCCTCCCTCTTTTGTTCTTCTTTTTTTTTTTCTCCCTCCTGTCTTACAGGTGCTCTCTGTGTGGCTATGTGTGCAGTCATCCCCCATCGCTCAAATCCCACATGTGGAAGCACGCCGGAGACCAGAACTACAACTATGAGCAAGTTAACAAAGCCATTAATGAGGCCATATCCCAGAGCAGCCGGTAAGCACAGTCAAGAAAAAAAGATATCGGTGTTCTTTCAGGAGTTCTCTCTGTGTTTGTACATATCAGCAGTGTATCCACAGACTGTGCACCGTAGGTTATGGAAAACAACTCTAAACTGCGATTGGCTTTAGGCGTCTTCAATTCAGATACAGCTGAATTATGAAATCTATCCACTTAAAGATGACCTATGGATCTGTCTTCTCAAAAAGTTTTCATGTTTACATTTAGTGTTACTCACCAAAACACATGTATTGTTTACTTAAGGTCTGTGTTGAATGTGTTTTCTTCCTTATAAAGTAAAGTGCAAAGCCTAATTTTAATGTATTTTAAATTCTGCATGTTCACATCTATGTTTCCTAGATGGCAGTCTTCGTCTGCCTTTGTTAGTAAATGTGAATTTCACATTTTAAACTTCACACCATTAAATATTTATGTTGTGAAGTTTCTTAGAGTAAAAGCCCAAACTGTTTCAATTCTTTTAGATTTAACTTTATTATGTGTAGAGCCAATTCCCTACACAAGTCCCCCTCAGGGTAATTTATTACAAAATTATATTATATAGACGGCAACCCAGTAAATCTAATCCTTTTTCCTCTACTTTTTGCATGCTTTATTGTGTTGTAGATTTCATTTTCACATCTATCCACACTCGGTTAGTTGTAATGACGAGGCAAAAACATGTTTTGCAAAATCAAAAGCTTACATCCCTGATTTTTAAAGGATCCTTTTCTGTGATTCAAAATTGTGGTCAAAGGCTTTCTGTTTGCTTTAATAATCCTGGAGATGTGTCTAGAACTTGAAAGGAGTCCGCTTGTGGCAAACTGAATGGATTGGACAAGTTTAGAAGGCATGTACCTGTGTGTGTAAGATCCCACAATGCACTCTGCTTGTTAGGCCAAAATCTAAGCCAAGAAGTCAAAGGAACCTTCTGTAGATCTCCACAGGGTAGCTGTGAGGAGGCATTGATTAGGGCAGGAGTATAAAACCATTTCTGGCTTTGAAGGTGTCTGGGAGCACAGTGCCCTCATTGGTTGTGACGTGGAGGAATTCTGAAACCACCAGGAATCGTCCTAGAGCTGGCCTTTGGACCAAATTCAAAAACTTACCCAAGGATTCTTAAAGCTATAATGACTATAAAAGGGAGGCTTCTACAAAGTATTAAATTAAGTGTCTGAATGAATCTGTAAGTGAGTTTTCCATCTTTACCATGTTTCCCAAAGGAAATATCAAAACACATTTTCACATGTCTTTATTGGTTATTAAGTGTAGATTATTGAGGAAATTATATCTACAACACAATAAAATGTACAGAAAATTTAAAAAACAAAACAAAAAAAAAACGTCTAGATACTTTCTGAACTGACAGTTTGAATGTATTTCATTTTAGAGTCTCTGACAGTAAAATGTGAAAAAGATGTGTTGTTTTAGCACATAATGGATCTGGTAAGATTATGGTATCATTACTTTGTTTCCTATTTTTCAAAAACATGTTTAGGTGCTAATTATCTGCATTTACAACAAGCTTTTGTGAATATGCAACTGTCTCTCTTGCTCACTATTAACTATATGTCTTCTGTTGACCCTTAAGCTAATTTAATGTTGCTAATGATTTTTTGTCTAGGTATTATGCTTTGAATTTTTTTTGTTTGTCAAACAAATGGCAAAGTTGTTTATTCTTCATTTATAGTCTTCAGTTCATGTTTTTAAGAATACAGTGCAACACCAATGACCACAAACATGTGACGTAACATAGTGATCATGGATTATGAGCAGCACTTAACTCTATACACCTCCTACCATCCTACAAATGTCAAAAAAGGGTGTATATATATATTATATAAGTTATTAGAATTTCTGGCTTCCTCCCACACAGTCCAAAAACATGTTGAGGTTCACTGGTGATTCTAAATTGTCTGTAGGTGTGAATGTGAGTGTGCTTGGTTGTCTGTCTCTAAGTGTGGCCCTGTGATAGACTGGTGACCTGTCCAGGGTGTCCCCTGCCTTCGCCCTAAGTCAGCTGGGATAGACTCCAGCCCCCCGTGACCCTAGTGAGGATTAAGCGGTGTATAGATAATGGATGGATGGATCAATTAAAATTTCCCTTGAAGAGTCAAACTTACAGCTCACTAGTTTAATCTTACTCCATTTCTTGTTGTCTTCTTCTTTTTAATTCCATCCTTTACTCTCCTCAGGGCACCTCAGAAGTTGTCTGCGGTGCTGGAGTCAGTGTCGGAGCGCCCAGTAGTGGCCCCACGTTCAAAGGACAAAGTAAAGGGCCCTTTGGAACCACTGCAAGTGTCCACATCAGCGACAAAAGCTGGTCTCTCTGCTGACAGCTCAGCAGGCCTCCCTACACCTCCCACAGACCCTTCACAGTGGTCCAGTGAATCCCTGAGCCCCCAGAGGAAGGACCCTGCGCAGCTCCAGTCCCAGAGCCATCCCCGCACAGGCCAGTTCCCTGTCGCCGGCCCTGGCATGGAATATTGTGTGCTCTTGTTCTGCTGCTGTATCTGTGGCTTTGAGTCCACGAGTAAAGAGCGACTGATGGAGCACATGAAGGAGCACGAGGGAGACATCATCAGCATCATCCTCAATAAGGAGCAGCAACAGCAGCAGCAACCAGAAGCACAGCCCAGCCTCCAAGCTGCAGAGTGAGACATGCCCTTCCCTCCCTCTCCTCATATTATCACTCACCCCGTGCTTTTACAATGCTGTCCACAAAAGTATTTCATTAAGTTTTCTTACCTCTAGGAGGTTGTAGAGGATACTGAGGTGTAACAATTTCACATCTACTGTACCACAGTCATTAATTGTCATTTCTCAGAAGTTTCTCTGGTTAAGGTCGGTCATGACATCAAAGGGTTCCAGCTGTGAGGCTGCTGTTACTACTATCCAGTGCAAACACCTTGAGAAGGTTTCGGGACAAGTGATTACATGATTTTCTGAGAGGTATTTCATTTGAAGCGAATGTTTAAAACATTGAACAACATCTTAAGCCGTTAATATTTGTGTCAAACAATTTCACATTCAAAAGACACAAAATGTGTCTGTAGGGAAGTTATTTTAATTTCAAGGGAAAAGCCAGAGCTCTAACCCAAGTATGATTTCTCACTATACAGGGACAAGTTCATACCTCAGAAAACCACACAACCCCTCACCAGAAATGGGAAAAGATTCACATATTTTCCAGTCTAATTCATATATTATTGAGTATAAGGCAGCTCTTTCATTGCTACTGTAATATTTAATGTATTTAATCCAACACAGTCAAGGCTCTAGCCGAGTAACGGAGGTACATGTGCAAACTTACCAATGCCTAAAGGCATTTATCACAGCTCGAGTTTCATTTATTATTTATCCATTTATTTTTATGCATGTTAGTTTCCGTTATGCCAATTTAAAAAGGAATATCTTCAATATTTTTTTCCTTTTTTTTTGGTTTTGTTCTTTGTTTGTGTGACTATACTTGTAATTTTGCTTGTTAAATCATTTATAAAGTAGCTTCTTCAGCAGAGAACGTTTTAGATATCAAAGGAGGACTGAAAGTTGACCAGAACAAAGCAGGAATTGGCCTTTGAGGACTGTAGTCTACTGATGGTTTAACGAATGTTGACAAAAAGAAAAACAAAAAGGGACGTTAGCAACGATAGAGGTGTTATTTTCATTGAATGGTGCCTAGGTTTTTGCAAACAGGAAAATGTTTTGATGAAAGAAATACATTTATCACATGTGATTGTGGTGCTAGGCTCACTTTCAGATTTATTGAAGGTATAGTGCTTTTTTTTTTTTTTTTATAGCCGATGCCAATTATGTTGTATATAATAACGTTTTTATAATAACCTTTCCACTTTTTGTCAGTGTTTTTAAAATACAAACTTTCTAGTGTCAAGTGCAGCATCATGTGATTGCTATCCCAGCTAACAAATGCCTCAAATAGGAAGACACGGATGTGAAAATAAAGTTTGTAAGGACACACATTTTTGAGGTTTTTTTCGCCCTTCGTCCTCCCATGTCCACTCACCGACATGTGATTGACTGGAAGCAAAAGTGTCATATAATTACTTCTGACCTGATATGGAAACTAGTGGTTGACTGAAATGTTTTTTTCAATGGCCAATGCCAGCAGGGGGGTCGATGGGCAACATCTAACGTCAGTGTCATATTGTTGTGGTTTTTTTGTGTGGGTCTTTTGCATTTGATAAAACACAACAATTTAAAAATGATTAGAAATGTGTCGCAAATTTGCTGAACGTCAATGAGCATCTGCTTTTTCTCTGTTTGCTTAAGTAGATCTGCAATCTGCAGTGCTCTTATTTTAAATGTAGATAATGTATCAACTAAATCAATGTCCAAAAGTCATCAAAGAACTAAACACTTGAACACTGAATGTAAAGTGTTTAGTGCTCCTAACAACATCTTCTATCATCAAATAGCATCATTGTCTGATGTAGGGATAAGCACGTTGTATCACTTTGTGTTGCCAAAGCACCCTGTTGCTGTTCACGGATTTATTTTAGCTCATCTAATAACACAAAATCCATCTGTACAGTAGCTTATTTTAAATTCGCTCCTCCTTAAAAGTTCCCTCCTAATTATAGACTTACTATATTCTTGACATGCTACAGGTTCACATCCTCACAGATGGCAATGGCTTGTGTCTCTCCCTCTGTTTCTCCTTCTCTCTCCTGCTCTACTGCTTTTAGTGATGATATTTGTAATAAACATCACCTGTTCGCAGCATTGACGACAAGGCTGGACACTGCATGGAAATGGACCCATTAGCTGCTGTAGCTAGTCAGGCCACAGGAGACGATGCAAACTGACCCAACATAACCCCGGTCAGCGGTCCCGTAGCAGGTTCCCAACTAAAGATATTCACATTTCTTTACTGAAAGACTAGGGTTAATCTAATTGTAGATGCTTTGGATAAAAGCATCTGCTAAATGAAATTATACAGACAATAAATGTGCAGTAAGTTAATACATCCAGCCAATTATATTTAAAATGAAAGTCGCAATTTCAAATGATGCAATAAGCAAATGTAATGCAATGCTCAATCACATTTTAAATCTGTCACAGTGAATATTGAATTGAAGCTTGACTTTAAAAGATAATATTGCATGCTTGTTTCTTTTGAGCAAATAAACCAAGTACTGCCGTCAAAGGAGACCATACAAGCCAAGTTACACATGGCTGTAGTTAACAGTTAGTGGAAGAAGCCGGAAACAAACCAGTTGTTTGCTAACTGCTAAAAAGAAATTTGACAAAGAAGAAGCAAACTAAATTTTGGTTGTCTATGAGAGAAAATTGGAGAGAATTCTTCAGATTTTTTTGATTTAAAAGTGATTTATTCTTGATTGTCAGCTGATATGGGCCATCTGTTGAGCTATATGGTGGCAAACACGACAAAAGAAGCAGGGACAGCTGATCGATCATGTGAGTAAAGTGTTCACAGTGTCAGAACTTGTTTCATGTACCACATGAAGTCTCGTTCTTCCAAAAAAAAAAAAAGTCCAAAGCCACGTCAATTAATAGTAAAAATGTTTGTTTGTTGTTGGTTTTTTTTGCAACATTAGGGGTATTTCTTCAAATACTGCCGTTTCCATTAAGATTCAAAAAATACACTATATAATTGGCCAGATTAATCGGTCTACCACAAACACTTTGTGTACTGATGATGAAATGGAAACTATGACAAAGGCTCGATCTACTTCGTGATACATTGTCTTGCAATGTTTTTTTCTCCTAAAGAATGAATGGAAGTAAATTTCTTTCGTTAACTTTTTTTAATAGGGAAGAAAAACAATGACGCTGGATGTAAAAAAAACAAAAAAACACCTGGAAGACATAATCCTTACCTGGATGTAACTCGTGCGGTGCCCCCATTACAAGTCTCCCTTTTGAACTCGGTAAATGGAGCAGAACAGGGGCCAGGTGTGCTTGTAGTTAGAGGGATACACACATCCTCAGAGAAATGGGGTTACATCCAAGCAACTGCTATTTCGATTCTGTACATGCTCCGCCCTTTAACAAGCTTCACTAATGGTAACAACTGGAGGCGAAGGCCGCTAATGATGTGATGTGCTCCCAGCTGGGCTTGAACTGTACCGCAAACAATCCAGACCCAACTGCTTACTGAGGGAGAAAAGTCAAGCTGCCAGGTCATTGAGCACCAACCTCCTAGGGGTCCCATCACTGAACTAAACACTCCAGGTTAGGAGCTGAACATGACCAGGAGGGATCATCAGTCTGACCCAGGCAGGACCTCCACAGACATACACCAAACACGAAGTGAAACACAGTCAGACATCATATCCATGAGATATGACTGCACAAATATGGGCGCTGCGGGGAACATGAGGGAAATGTGGAAGTCCAGCTGCTCAGAGACTTAGCTCTACATGTCTCGCTGGTCAGTCGTGACCTGGATATCTGGGCCAAAGAGAGAATCTGTGGGTATTGGCACGTTAGGAAGATGTCTCCACTTCAAGCTGGACAGGCCAGGCCAGAGGTAACTGTGCCATATCTGAGCAGCACAATGGGGCAGTGGCTATAAATGTGAATGCCTACAACATCTGGAGGAGAGCAACAGCTGTGCTCTGGTTCTCCATCAGCAGCCACATTGCTCCATGTCTTCCATCACACTGTCCCCTTGGACATTAGCAACAGCCAAATGATAGGTGATGATGTCATCGCATGGAGGTTGAGTGATGAAGGCTGGCTTGAGTCGGAAAAAGGAAAACCACAACAGGATTTACGGGAAGGTAGAAGTAGCATGAAAAATGGCAATAGACAGTGGTATCAATGGGCAACTCTAAAGAAGCGTTTACTCCACTACAAAGAAGGTGTTGTTCACTATGACTTGTCTTCTGCGCAAGAACAAAACAAAAGAGCCCAGCAGCTGCATCAATAGAATCATGTGTAGACATCATGTCTGGGCGTACAACATGTTTTATTATTGTACTACACATGTGTCGAGCCAACAGAGAATCAAAGCAGTAGTTGCAACTGTAGGTGGGAAGTGAGTTCAGGCATGTTTGTTGGAGTACAAAGTGAAGCCCATCAGAGGGTGTAGCATGTACAAAACTGAATGTAAGGAAAATGAGTCCTGTCTCCAAAATGTAACCTCCCATACAACTCAACTGCTAAACTTTTTGAGGGAAACAAGTTTTCTCCTGGAGTCTGTTTGTCTGGGGCTGCATGGTGGCTCGGTTGTTAGCACCATCGCCTCAAGCTAGAGGATCCCTGGTTCACATCCCGGCCTGGGTCTGGGATCTTTCTGTGTGGAGTTTGCATGTTCTCCCTGTGCTGCATGGGTTCTATCTGGGTTCTCCGGCTTGTCCCACAGTCCAAAGACAGCTGGGATAGGCTCCAGCCCCCCCTCGCGACCCTAGTGAGGATTGAGCGATGTATAGATAATGGATGGATGGATGGATTCTGTTTGTTTGTGATTTATCAGAAATGTGTTTCTAATCAACCTATTTTTGCCATTTCTAGGATTGCTTTCCAACTTCTGCCACTTTTTATTCAACCAATCATATATGAGGTTTGGACTTGTTATCCTAGTAACTAAGAAAATAGATGAGAAGCTTCAGACGTGTAAAAAACAGTTATATATTAACCAAAACATAATATTTTATTAAACCCAACCAAACAAGAAATGAAAACCTAAGTCTAAAATGAGTGGGTCCACATGGGACACAAATTCCAGTCTCCTTGGTAAAAGTATTGGACTTATGGCACCACCAGCCCTCCAACTTATTAATGTGTACTTGGGGGCTCTTTGAAAGTGGAAAAGCTTCCTATGACATCACACTGTTGCTTTACTGGGAGAAAATGTGTTTCTTTTAAAAACGTAACTGAAAATGGAGTTCAGTTGTATTTGAGACAAGTCTGCACCAGCACATCTTGCAACCCATATGCACATTAGGAAATACACTATCATGAGAATTCATGTCAAAAAAACTGCGACGTTCAGTTTGGACAAAAAAAAAGAAAATTGCAGATGCTTTAATGTTGATTACCAGAGAGCCAGTAACAAGGTCTGAGCCAACCCAATGTATCATGTAGTCCTGTCATGCAGGACGCACTATCACGTTAATTCATCAGTATGCCCCCACTTTTTTTTTTTTCTTTTTTTTACATCAACACAGACCAAGGCGGAGGAAATTAAGATAAAATAGAATATACATAATTCATCCACCACACCCACCTACAGAACAGCTCCAAAACGTGTCTACGCGTGTAGTGGATGAAGCAAAATTAAAACTCTATCTCAAAGACCTGTTACCTGGCTTAGAATTCTCATTATCATAGTAGATAATTGTTGTCAGACTTTTAATTTACTATACTGCGTGGGAGGATTAAAGATGACAGGGGTATATAAATTTAAAAAAATAAAAAAAAGTAGGAATTTACTATCCCCATGTCTGGTGACTTTCAATGAGGAATAAGAATTAAACACTGCACCAACCACACACACACACACACACATAACACTCTGCTTTTAGTTAGATAAAAGCTGGTTATTTTTTAAGCCCAAAAATAAAGAAATGAACACAGTTTAGCTTTGAAAGATCATTCTGGTCTACTCTGATTTTATTTTTCCTCATTTTTTTACTACCGCCCCTGTGGGCTTTAATCAGGTTTTCACCTCCTTTTAAGTTTTCCCCGTTTGTTGCTTTTCATCATTAAATAATGTTGAATTTATTGTGCAAAAAAGATTCTTTTTGCTTCAAAGTGAAAACAGGTTTTGCAAAGTAATGTCATTTAATTACAAATATAAAATGTAAATGAGTGAGGCAGATGCAATTTTACCCCATTCTTCTTCTTCTTCTTCTTCTTTGCAAAACTGCTCAAGCTCTGTCAGGTTGCACAGGGATTGTGAGTAAGCCGCCCTTTAACGTCCAAGCATGAGTTCTGACCATATGGGTGTTGTAACAAGGTAAAAAAAAAACAACAACAACAACAGCACCAT